AAGGAATATACAGTGTTTAATGGTTGGGACATGAAAAATGGAGTTGATGTAGAGTAGTTTCAATATCTCATGAGCCGCGAAACGCGCGAAAGCCGTGGCGTACCCGCATAATTCTTCTAATAAGCACGTTGTGAAAACATTGACTGAGAATTAAACCACATGCCTCATTACTACCAGAAAAGAACTAAGGCTCTTGGGCATCAATAAAGTCAACTGGCGAACGTTCATTATATATTTTTATTGCTTAAATTAAAATAAAGAATAGATCATTTTATTATGATATTTGTAATCGGATCAAAGGCTTGTTTACGCTACGAGAGCTCGAGATATACTGTGAATAATAGATGTAATGTTTTTAGGACGTAGAATAATTTAGGCGACTGTCGGAATTATGTTTCTGCGCATATGAAGGTCAAAGCTCATAAGATTTTGAAACAACTCTACCGATAGAGAATGTAATATTGACGTATTTACATAAAATGTTACAGACTGAGGAAGCATCGTCCCTATGGTCGAAATATCCCATACTTAAAGCAACTCTAGCGCTTCAGAAGATAATAGACATCAGTAACTCATTCCTATTACCTTTGTCGACACAAAGACAACCACAAGCGGGTATGTTCTGTGATTGCACATTGTGATAGTGGAAATTTATATCGGGAATATACTGGTATTTTTTTTTAAATCGAGACCATATCCAGAGTATAACATGTTCCACACCTACAACTGTTCCAGAATTAAAAAACAAAACTGCACAATCGTCAACTACCTATTATGGACATTTCTTTAGATGGACATCTGCTGTAATAATTGTTGTTTATGGTGGTGATGGAATCGAATTGATAACTTTAAAGACTTGGTGTATGGCGCCCATCGTCTGTTGAAAGTTATACACTAGAGGAATCGTTACAGTAGAAAAAGAAAGTCATCAAACTAATTTTGGAAGAGAATATTGCATGTTTATCAACTCTACAATGATGTCATCACATAAAACTCGGAGATTATCGCCTGAAATGGTTCAAATCAACATCCTGTTGAAGAAACCTACTAATGATGAGAACATTCCTTTACTGGCGATTATTTTAAGTATAGGACAAACGGTATTCATTTTTGTTGCAACAAAAGGTATCGAATCACTTGATTAAAAATATTGTGATATTAATTTTCTGCATAAATACAAACTAAGAACGAACCATAATCAGTGTTTCTATGTTACCGGCCTAGTCTAGAAACGTGACATTTTGCGGACATTAATGTTTAGGAGAGTGTACAGTTACCCTTAGGTTTTAGTTCGGCAAAGACATGATTTTTTTTGTTTAAGCCATGTAAATGAATACGAGGTTTCATAAAAAAATAACGGGAATTTTCATATTGCGCGTGTTGTATCTTGTTCCTGTCAATTTTGAGGCAACTGCCTGAGGTTGTGTTTGGTGAGCGAATGATTTAGACCTACCTCACAATCAGTGATTTTGATAATTTTTTGTGTGGCGAAATGTCGAATCGTTTTGTGTTAAAATTAGAATTAGTGCAGGGAAGCGTTCAGAATTTTAAAGAAGGCCTTTGGCGACGATACTATGTCACGATCACGAGTTTAACAATGGTACAAAGTTTTCAGCAAGGCCAAAAAGACATCGAAGGTGAGGCGAGATTTAACCAAATGTGAAGGCCCTTCTAATTGATTTCTTCGACTACAATGGAATAATTCATCACCAATTTTTACAGTTAGCAATTTGCGCGAGGCAGTCAAGAGAAAGCGACAAGAATGCACCAGCGCATACCGCTTTGTTTTTCCAACAGTTCTTAGCGAAACACAACACCGTTGTGATGCCGCTACCACCCTATTCTCCGGACATGACTCCTGTGACTTTTTCCTATTTCTCAAACTCAAAAGGATACTCAAAGGACGTTTATCAACAATTGCAAACCATGCTCAAAACGATAACGGCAGAGGGGTTACACCAGTGTTTCTCAAACTAGAAACTAAGTTGACATAAGTGTATAATATCACAAGGGGGCTATTTTGAAGGGGTTGGGATAAAAATTGAGAATTAGATAAATACTTTATGAGAAAATTTACAATTCCCGTTACTGTTTGATCAAATCCCGTATTAAGAGTACTGCAAAATTTTATTTACACACAAGTATTTTTTTAGTTATTGATCTTATGTTGCGGTTATGTTGCGGCATATCTAATTATTTATTAAATATATTAAATTATAAAATTAAATAATTAATAATAGATGTAACCAGAAGTGTGAACAAATGGGCTAATTTTTTTTTAATTTGTGGATGGTATTCGGGGTTGAGTCTTACTTGTTTTTTTTGTTAATTACGTCCATTCTGAGGTACACAGTATATTTCTTAAAGTACTTTTATGGCAGTTAATTATAGGTATTATTACAACTAACTAGCAATCTCTATTTTTACTTTGTCTATGTCAGGTCTTTATGTCTGTATATCTATAAAGACGTATTATACGTATCGAATTAGATAATGCATCTGCCTACTCAAATTCTATTCTTAAAGTTAATAAAATTAAATTTCTATTAAATACTGGGAAAAATGTGTTTCTTTACTATAAACAAAGAGAACGTTATTCAATTAACTTTTAATAAATCATTGTTACTTGAATTATTTCAAAATTCCCGCGTTTCAGAAATAGTTCTCGTTGCAATTCAAGCAATTGTCGTTACAATTTCTGCGTTTAGTGATTAGCATGGAGATCTTAATCCATGGTGTCCTTTATCTATATTTTGGAAGTTTTTGTCAGGAACCTTTCCTAACAGTATGCAGCGTATTCCCAAACATATGTCCCTTGTAATAAACAAAAAAATGCCTTCTGGTATTCACCCCTGCTTGTTTCTGAAACAAAAACTGCTATCAGCAAAGTGTCATTTCTATAAGAGATAAAACAAAACGTTATTGAAACACTTCCTTAGAATAAAAAACTGAATAATGCTCCAAAATATCAATGTTAAGACACTGAAAGTTTGTAATATTATTCTGTTTTGATTTTCACGTTTATTTTTGCTTGATTTTATCTTTTTCACTACTTAATTTTTTTTGCCCAATGAGATACCACAAAATATTGTTAAGTTTCTCAGAATGAGAAACTGAACTGCTAGTCCACTTTGACATTTGCTTGATTTTAGATTTTCTGCCGCTACAAAACTCATAATTTACTTTGTTTTCTTACGGCTTGCGTACTGTGTGTGTTATCTAGGTCCAGATCATTATATTTTAATACATATTAGTATTGCTGTTGAATGATAAGTACACAGAAAGGAGCACAACCTTGTCATTTTGATGACCTTTTGATGATGAGATCATCGTCACCTACTACATAAATAAATTTAATTATATACGAAAACTATAACAAAAATATCTGCAGATTCGTGAAAAATCATTGTTACATTTTTATTTGCTAGCAGCTTTTTACTGGTTGCTAACAATGATTTCAACAGATTGAACGCTAAAATATCAAAGCTATTAAAAAAGAGTTAATAACACCTTTTAAAACTTCTGGAAATACCTACCTATGATAAATAATTACTCATGTTGTAGTGGATTAGAAGTTGCAAGGTGAGGCAATTGCATTGCACTAAAATAGATATAAAATAAAAAAAGAACAATAAAAAAATGAATTTAACTAAAATAGGTATAAAATAATAAAAAAAACAATAAACAGTGTTTATTCGGATAATTAATTAGGCATCTAGGTAGGTACCGTAGCTTATGTACTTTATTAGGTTTAGGAACTTTATGGTATGGCTATTGTAAATTTAAAATCAACTGGAAGAACGAATAGAATAAACACAATCCATACAACAGGGCTAGATAATGACGTGTCAGCAGCAAAAGCAAGTCAAGTCTATGTACAGTTAATCTAAAAGGAATTTCATGCGCTTGTTTGACCTCGAACGGCCCTAGCTTAAATTCAAAGTGACACGTGATGCTTCGACTGCTTTGACTAAGGACATACTACAGTGATTCTAACAAAATACTTTTACCTAGTACCTCCATATTTAGGTACATTTCTGGTGCTTGATATTTATTTATACTCTTGAAAAATTGAAGGATTAAAACAATATTTGCTAGAGCAATATGTGCAGAACTAAAAAAAAGTTGTGGGTTAATTAAAATGTAGCTATCTCAAGCTACTAACATATCCCAAGCGATTACTAAGAGAAGAAAATCCTGGAAAAACCTGATCTTTTATTTCAGTAAGGTGAAGGTTGGGTTTGCTTCTATCACCTATTCTCTGTTGGAAGGAACAATGGGGGAATTGAATTGGAGGACGCATTACGTAGTGCGCCTGCGCACCTTTCCAGTGTGTGTTGTAACAGCAATATTGGATTCCTTGCTTCCCGTTCGGCGTTGGCGTTAGTAAAGGAACCAGTTTATTTTGCTCTACCCTGCAGTTGTTACAAGTGCGTCATCTTGCCGGGGGCACATAATAGAATTCGGACGTTCATCTTTTCGTTTTATTTATGTTTTGACTGCAGAGTATATTCATTCACAAATTCCGCAATACCTAGTATGTTTCACTTATTATACTTAGCTATACGGGGTGTGTTGTATAAGTAATCGAAACTGCGTTTAAGGTTATGTTACATGTACAATTCACATATTATGTAAATAAGTATATTTATATCATACATGCGTACATTTTGTCCCATTTATTTACACTTTGGCATAAATGCCTGTGATTGCTAAAATTTTAGAAACTAAATAAATACAAGGTCTAGGTTATGTTCGTTAATATTGTAGAATTTTTTTATAAATATTTGAATTGAAATACTTAAATGCGAGTATATTATTTCAAATATACATTTATATACTTCAAAAAGATATTGTAACTTTTTCTGCAGATGTAGACATCTATATTTTTTATTTCTAGAAAACTTTTTTTTCTAAATTAAATTGATATAAAATGTATGTACATTTAGAAATATGGCAGTATCTAAATGTACCTAACTCTTATTTTATTTTTGTTACAGACATGGCCGCTGTTGAACAGTGCGAGACCCAGTCATCGGGACTTCCAAGTATCTCAAAAACTTTATATGATGATACTTTTAAACCTTCTCAAGAAGAAGAAAAAGATTCTGATGAAGAGAGTTTTCATCTTCCAATGTTAGACTGTGATGATGATCTAGATAGCAACAGTAAGCGTATATTTTGTGTCGCACATATGATATTAATTAATTAAATTTTCAGCTAAGGAAGTACTGATAAGTGACTCCGGTAAAGATCTACATAATGGTGAAACGGAGGATGAAATTTTAAACAAATTTGAAACGAATGGTACTCCAGATATAGATCCAAAACTGGAGGAGAGTATATTAAATGAAATTGATAATTTATTTGAAAAAAAACTAGACAAACCTATTAACAAAAATATGGATTGTGATAGTGAAATCAAAAATGCTTCTCCTGTGGATAAACAAGAATTAAATATGGATGATATAAGTGATATTAGAGCTACTATTTCAGAAATATTGAAAGTTGATGAACACAATTTCAACTCTGTGTCAGATGAACATGAAAATAAAACTAATGAAAAAATAAATGATGATAAAGCAAATGAGGAAAGTACTGACATTATTAAAAATATAGATGCAGTTTTAGAAGATGAGAAAAACGTTAATGAGGGCACTGAGATAATTGATGGGAGAGTTGCAAAAGACACCAGTGAAAAGAAAGAAGCTACAGAAGAAAATGACACTAATGGAATGGACATAGATGAACAGTTAGTTGATAAAAAAATATCTGATGATAAAATCACTAATACCAGCACTGAGGCTGAGACTAATGCTGAGGCCATGGCTGAGACCAATGTTGAGACTAATGCAACAACAAATAATTCTAATGAGACTGAACTTTCTGAAGTAAATACAACTGTCCAAGAAATGGTTAATTCAGAAGCAGTGAGTGAAGAAAAACAAGAAAAAAATGAACTTGAAAAATGTATTGAAACCAATTCAAAAATCGATACACCAAACAATGAATTGAATAAAACAGAATTTAAAAGTAGTAATGATGACGCTAGTTCACAAATCGATAGTTGTGAAGAAGCTATGGAAGTAGATAGTAAAGCAGAGGAAGGTACTAATGATGGTAATCCTCTAGAAGTTGTTGATGTTTCAAATGAAATTCCTCCTAAAGATGATATTGTATGTGAGGATTCTAATAAAAGTAGTGCTTCAAATATAACTGATAATCTGACTGAAGATCAAAAAAGTAGTGACAAAGATATAGAAAAACAATCTCAAAAGTCTACTGCAGAACATGGGGAACCAGGGGATACCACTGCAGCAGACAGTGGTAATTTGCAGAGCAATGTTGAACCAGAAAAATGTGAAAACTCAAATGATTCCAGCAAAAGCCAAAATCTTGAATGTGAAGATTTATTGGATATTTCCATTATTCGAGATGCGGATGAAGATAATGCTTCAGCTATTGCGGAGAATGCTAATGATGCTCACACCAGTGAAAAATCAGATAATGATAATGATGATCAAGATGAAGGGAGTGATAAGGCCGAAAATGACCTCGATGAAAGTGAAATGGACCAAGACGATACTTTGCTTGCTAACGACAAAGAAGATAATATGGATTTTGAGGATGGAAGTAGTAATTTATTATGCGATCAAGATAGTGCTATTGATGGAAATATAAGTGATAGTGAGAATAAAAGCAGTGAAACAAGAGATTCTGAAAATGATTCTAGTAATAGTGTGTTAAAACAAAAAAGTGATATTAATGACATTGAATTAAGTAGTGAAAAAAATGGGACTGAAGAAATTAGTAATAATACAGAAGCTGAGGGAAATGAAGGTAAATAAATCTAAAATAATACCTACCTACTTTAATATCCTATTGGTGATTTTTTAAAACATTTCGTATTTATAAAATTTAATATTTCTTAAAACACTTAAGTATATCTTTTTTGTAACACTAGGTATAATTATTCTTCTGAACATTTTATCAAAAATCTAGTTGACTTTAAGACAATATGTTTAAATTTAATTCACAATGACTACCTAGGTGTAGGTATTTGCTTTTTTTTAATATGGGACAATCAGTTGAAAAATTTGTGCAAAATATAAAGGGTGAGTTTAATTAATACCTAGTTATACTTATTACTGATAGCAAATTGTTCACTTTTAAACAAAAAAATTTTAGTAAATAAATATTTATGATACGACATTAGGTTATTTTGTGCTGTCTTAAATTTTTATTAAAAACTGATTACAAATACAAATATAAGTACTTACAATTAATGAATACTTTTAGTGGATTATTATAACTAGGTTACCTTTTTGTCAAGTTCATTTATAATACTTCTTAACTGCTAGAACTTATTCCATTATTTGACAGATTGTCTAGCTGTAAAGAGAGGTTATGTCATGTAAGAGTAACTGGAAACTAGAGATGATCATTTTGTCAAATCTAGATCATAGTTTCAATCTGATTAGGTATAATTTTGCAGTTAGGTATTTTAGTATTATGTAGATACTTCTTTAGTCTTTGTTATAATAGAAAATAAATAATATGACATTTAGAGGTAATTTATGATATTCGTAAAATTTAAAAAATAGATATTTTGTTATGTACCTATTTGTTAAGTAACTCCTTTTTTTATTCAAATTTTTGATTATTTGGATGTGATATAATATCGAATAATCAATTTTCAGATTCAACCGAGGAAAACTCAACAAAACCTAGTACTAAAAGATCGTTAAGTGAAACGGACATTACAGAGATCCCCAATAAAAAAATTAAATTAACAGAACGATCTAAAACAGAGGATAAAATTTCATTTCGTAAAAATGATAAAGTAAAAACACTAATAAATTTCGAAAAATATATGCAAAATAAAAAATTAGAAAACAAATTAACAAGATCGGATCTGGAACAGTTTTGTTTACAGAAAATTTGTGAAGCTATTATGCATAAAACCGATGTTGGTGAACTACACCAAACTATAAAGAAGCAGGAACAAATCATAGAAAATTTACGGAAAGACTTGCAGCAACTGACAAAGCAAACGAGAGATTTAGACATTGTAAATAAAAAACTTATGAACGAACTTCGCGCACAAAACGGCCCTAAGAAACCTCTTGTCCCTTTAAAAATTACAAGATCAGTTGGTTTGCAAGTCAAACTGAATTCTTCGACTGAAACTAATAATAGAAGAAAAGTTCCAATACCTACTACACCAAGAACGCCTACTGCTAATAATACTGCAGCTCGTCCTAGAACAATCACTCCTGCAAATGCTCCCGTTGTCAGACAAGTATGTATATCTTTAATCATTTTGTGGTATTATACACATTTCTTCATTACGTTGAACCTGCAGTGTTTAATTATTTGAAATTTGTTTTAGGTGGCGGCATCTCCTCGTAAAGCACCAACCTCAGCCCCGTTATTATCGCAGGCTCTCCAAAATCGTTCGGTAACTCCTGTCAATAACGTTGCAAAACGCACCCCAGTTCGATCCAAAGCGGCAGAACCTCAGAGGCCCGCAAACGCCAGCGTTATCGATTTAACAGATGAGGACGATAGAGCTTCCAAAGGTGTAGGAAACTCGGTAAAGATCCTCAATAAAACAATTCCATTATCTCAAGGAAAAACTATAAATATAATTCCTGCCAAAACAGTTCCTAATAAAATGTTAAATTCTAATCAGAACAAAACCGTTGCTGTCGGTCAAGTAAAGACTAATGGCGCAAAAGTGGGAACTCCGACGAGAACCGTCACTACTTTGCCCCAGGGAGTTAGATTGACCCCGACACAAGTCAAAAACGGTAGCATAACGATACCTGCCAGCGTAGTGACCTCTAGTTCCGGTACGACTCAGTTTATGTACGTCGTCCAGCCAGGTTCAGTTGTTACGTCGACAGCTGGCGGAACCCAAAAAGCTGTGCTTCTGAACTTCCAGCCCACCAACGGAGTTTTGAGTAAGTCTTTCAATCATTTCTGATTAAACTACAGATTACTACAGTACGTCACTCTCTTATTAATTAGAGCAGTACAAACCTCTTTCAGGGTGTGAGTGGAAAAGATTTTATTTCATAAATATTCCTGGGTATGTTCTAGTCAGTCTTGTCACTAACTGTGGAAAACATTTTTATACTGTTAATATAGTCATTGAATAGTTACAAAATACTAATTTTATAAATTGATCAGGAATATCTCTTAACACTTCCAAATTACTGACAAATATTTTTAACCTGTTTTTAAATTAACATAATTTTACTTTTAAAATTTTTGTTGCCTGCCACTTGAACAAGTCGAAACACTTAAGCACAAATCAATGCTAGCAAAAAATTTTAAAAGCATTCCATAAAACATTTGTATCTTGGTTGTTTCTTTAATCTTAGGCAGCTCATTGGCATTACTTTAATGGATACAAAATACCAGATAAAAATGTGAATTTTCAAATTTTTTACATTAAAGTTATTGCTTTTGATAAATACATGGTTTAAATTATGGGACTTATTCATACGTCCTGTACCTATATAATGAGCCAATGAAAACAATGAATAAAAAAGACAAAATTAACAAACAAAAAAATTGAAATTCCTCTTTTTTCTTTATTGATGATAATTTGCATATTTCAAATATAATATGTTTTGATTGATCATTTTATAAACACCCTTTCAAAAAAAGTTGGCGTTATCCTTTTTTTAGTTTATTCTGCTTCTGTCACACAGTATGGCACAATAAGTAACAGTTTTAGAGTAAATTGAATCATTTTAACGAGTTTATCGTTCACTCCCAAATCTTCTAATGCTTATGCAGCTGTTTCCTTTTAATTGGCTCTAATTATTTGCTCTCTTGGCTCTCTAATGTGGCTCTCTTTTACATTCATAATTCTCTACATCGATTTCCCCAATTGCAAAAATTTGGTCTGCCACTGTCTTGTTTTTCTAAATCTGCACTGATATTCCTTCTATTTCTTTTTCCATTACTTCTCTTAATTTTTTCTTTATATGCGAAGGCAGAATTTTATAAGCAACATTTAACAGGGTTATTCCACGGTAACTAGAGCATTGCATTTTATCACCTTTCTTGTAAAGTAGTTGGAGTATAGCTTCATTCTAGTTCTTTAGCATTTTCCCCCTGTATCCAAAGTTGTTGCAATAATTTATGAATCCATTTGGCCAATTCTTCTTCGCCATGTTTAAACCATTCTGCTGCTATTTGATTTTCTTCAGTACTTTTGTTGTTTTTCAATTTATGCATAATGTCCTTTACTTTAGTCCTTGTTCCTGTGTGTTGCTTCTCTGAACTTCCCTATTTACTTCTCCTTCTCAGTTCTTGTCTTCATCTCCATTCAATAAATTTTGGAAATGTTCTTCCCAGTGTTTCAATATGGCATACTCGTCTGCTATTAACTCCTCTTTATTGGCTTGCAAATGTCCTGGTTTTGGTTCAGATCCTTCTCTTTTGTGCTTTATTCCCTGATATAATCTTTTTATTTCCTTATTTTTATAATTTACTTCGATTTCCTCTAGTAGTTCTGCTGTATAAGTTCCTTTTTCCTCGCAGCTGTTTTTTAAACTTATCTCGTTGCTTCTTATATGCTCTTTTTGACTCAACCATTCCATTTCTTAACATCACTAACCTTAGTTACCATCTTTTTTTCTAATTGTTCACATTCTCTATTAAACCATTTTGCACTTCCTTTATTCGTTCTATTATGTTCCACAGCTTCTTTCATTTCTTCTCTTAAATTTTGCCAAAGAGTGTCTACATCATTGGAGCCTGGAATCTTGACATTGTTATACATAAACTATTCTATATTTCTATTCCTTAAACATAGGNTTGACTCAACCATTCCATTTCTTAACATCACTAACCTAGTTACCATCTTTTTTTCTAATTCTTCACATTCTCTATTAAACCATTTTGCACTTCCTTTATTTGTTCTATTATGTTCCACAGCTTCTTTAATTTCTTCTCTTAAATTTTGCCAAAGAGTGTCTACATCATTGGAGCCTGGAATCTTGACGTTGTTATTCATAAACTATTCTATATTTCTATTCCTTAAACATAGGTTCTGAAGAAACCTCAGCAAGTAGCAGAACATCAAATTTTTGACAAAAAGTTTTGTATGAGCACAAGATGTCGAATGTTTCATTATTAAGATACAGGGTGATGAAATAAAAAATATGTACAAAGTGTCTCATAACTAGTGTCCAATAATTTGCCACTTGATTCTATTGCCAAAAATAGGAATATTTTTTTTATATAAACATTGGTCGAGGAAAGGAAGCTATGCCCTCTAAATGGGTACACAAAAAATTAATTTTTTTTAATATTTCCGAAACAGGTTACAGGAAAATTATGAATTTTGACACCAAGAACACTCATTAAAAGTTAAAATAAATCATTTTTTCAAAAATTTTGGTCAGGGGTGTCTCAATTGAAGTGGTCATCGGCTAACAATTGCCACTATTTTTTTGTTTGTCGCAATTTGCAAATTCAGATGCTATTGCATGATAGACCTTCATTTCCTTTACAAAAAAAAGGTACTCTTTATTTCTTTCGATAAAATGCTATTTCGAGAAGAACGGATTTAAGCATTTCAATATATCTTGATAAAATTAAAAAAAAAAATTTCTTGAATAGGCAGTTGAAATGGGTACATGTACCATTATAAATTTTGATGTCATCACATTGTAATAAACAGCGTGAAAAGTACTTAGCAAAGTTTATTATGAGCACCTATAACAAACTTTTCTAAGCACTTTGTTTATTACAATGTACAATGATATGACGAAGATATCAAAATTCATAATGGTACATGTATGGTATACATAAAGCATATCTTTTTTTGGTAGAGGAAAATGAGGGTCTATCATATATTGGCATCTGAATTTGAAAATTTCGATAAGCAAAATAAAAGGAGTAGATTTTGGCCAACGACCCTCCCCCCCAAATTGAGACGCTCCTGACAAAAATGTTTTAAAAATTTTATGATCAACTTTTAATGAGCATTGATGGTGTCAAAATTCATAATCTTCGTTCAACCAGTAAAAATATTTAAAAAAAAAAAGAATTTTTTATATATGTTTATATGAAAAAATATTCTTATTTTTGGCAATAGAATCAAATGGTAAATTATTGGACATTAATTATGATTTTCACAAATAAATGTTTCTAACAATTAGGGACATAGAATTTGGGCAGGTTGTTTATTTATTATTGCAGGTAAAAATTCACTAAGTGGTTTAGAAACACATTAACTAGTGGTGGAGGCACAGAGGGTTAGTACCAGTAGGCATGATTTCCATGCCACTATTTTAGTAACTAAATCGGTGCTTTTAATTCTTAGTAAAGTAAAAAATTCTTTAACCATTGCCTGATGTGTTTTCAAGCCAACTCGCTACAAATTTGTTCCTCTAATTAAATAAATCATTGACATTTCATCGAGTCTATTTGTTCAATCACATTTTAATTTCTCAATCAATTTAGAACTGAACAAATTTCACTTGAGCCCCGTAGAATGTACTTGATGTAGTAACATATCCATAGTTTGCATTACTTTGCCACTGCGCATCCTACCCACAAGGCTCAAACAAATTCGATTTACCTGAATGTTTGTCCGTATCAGAAGTATGAGAATATCCTTTTGTTTTCAGCTTCTACAATAAATGGTTCAGCTGTATCAGTTCTACCTTCAAAGACCTCGAACACCGTTCAACTAAAGACTGTCACTGCCCCTCGTAAACATCCCGCCCCCTTACCTAGTCCCCCTCCTGTAACCATTAACGCCTCTCTAAAGCCATTATTACCCAAACCTCACTTAAGCATAAGGAAGACAGACACTGGCATAATTCTTCAGTGGAGGATGCCTTACAATTTGGATGTCTACGAAGCGATTGCCAGTTACCAACTGTTTGCCTACCAAGAAACGAACGCCCCTCCGAGTACGGAAATGTGGCGGAAGGTGGGCGACGTTAAGGCTCTGGCACTGCCAATGGCGTGCACGTTAACTCAGTTTGCTGATAAGAATAAGTATTACTTTGCGGTACGGTCCATCGATGTCCATAAGAGGATAGGAGCGTTTAGTGATCCTGAAGAAATTTCGTTGTAGATATGTTCTGTGTATATTAATTTAATGAGAAACTTAGCTGTAAGGGTAATAACTTTTTTATTTATGTTTTATTGTAAGTTAGAAAATAAAATTGTATCAGTTTTTTATAAAAGCTGCTTTTCCTTTTTTGATTATTGTTTATTTTATTGAAATATCCAACGGAATAGAATCATAATTGCAGGATAAGGTGAGAACAAAAGCGAAAACTGAGATAAAAAATAATAAATGCAAATACAGCAATACAGAACAAATATAAGAACGAGATACAGCGAATGTTTAATACAAAAAAAAAAAAAAACATTAAATATTAAACACCTATATGTTACAGCATAAAGTGAGCACAAATGAGAAATGTAAAATAAACTATAAAAATATCTACAGTCCATACGATATTTGTTGAAATAGAATTTCAGGAAGATCCCCTGCATCACTTTCTTGGAATTAACCGCATTGGACATCCGAAGTAGAAATACATTGGCACAAAATTTCAAGGCACCCTGCTGCGGTAAATTGTTACAGTAGTTCCGCTGACAGAACTTTATTGGCTTATTCGTTCCTTGGAATTCTATCTCAACAAATATTGTATGGATTGTAATAAGTGCAAATTACAAGTAATGCAAAACAAAATGGAAACAATAATAAGAATGAGATGCAGAAAATACTTTTGATACAAAAAAAATACATTAAGTAGTAAACGTGTACATGTTACAGTATAAGGTGAGCACAAATGAGAAATGTAAAATCTTAAAAAATATTGTATGGACTATAATAAGTGCAAATTACAAAGACTGAGAGGCAGAAAATACTTTTGATACAAAAAAAATACATTAGTAAACATGTACATGCTACAGTACTTATAAGGTGAGCACAAAAGAGAAATTTAAAATAAATAATATAAATGTCTACAGTCCATAAGATATTTGTTGAAATATAATTTCAAGAAGACCCCTGCGTCACTTTCTTGGAATTATCTGCATTGGACACCCGAAGTAGAAAGACATTGACGGAAAATTTCAGGGCACGCCCCTTTCGCGGTGAATTGTTACAGTAGTTTCGATAACAGAACTTTATTAGATTATTCTTTTCTTGATGGAATTCTATCAAATATTGTACGGACTGTAACAGTGCAAATTACAATAAGTAATACAAAACGAAATAGAAACAATATGCAGGAAATACTTTTAAAACATAAAAAAAATTAGTAAACACGTATACATGTGCACAAGGTGAACAGATAAAAGAGATGTAAAATAAATAATAAAAAAATATGTCTAAAATAAGTGCAAATTACAAGCAATACAAAACAAATTGGAAACAATAATAATGAGACGCAGGAAACACCAAAGTAAATAACAAAAAAAAAACATTAAATAGTAAACATATACAAGAAAATTTGAATAACAGTTCCTAAATAATTTTTTAAAGGTAATATCTAAGGAAGCATGTCACCATTAAATAATCAGCAATCAGTATCAATTATTTGAGTACTTAATGAGACATAATCGGATAATATTGAAAATCATATTATATTCGTATGTAGTTATGTACAGAATCTTCAAATAAGAAAGGGTGTTCTTTTATATTACAGGAACCACTGACAAATTGCAAAAATTAAAAGTAAACGTAATCTTATGATGAAGTATGGGATCTATACCGTTTATTGTTAGGGGTGGTCCACAGAGAACTCTGTTGAAAATATTTCAACTGAAACTTGCAAAATTAATATAAGGGTGAATGACAACGAGATCTCGAAAAGGGTTGCACCGGTAAATATTTGCAAGTTACCTGACTGCTCAGCTTATGTAACCAACTACATTACAGGCCTGGCACTAGAAACAAAAATCCCCAAATCTTGGAGTCACCATCAATGTTAATGATTCGTTTACAATGAACATGAACAAACCATTACGTCTATGCTCGAGATAATGTGATCGCTGATTGGTTAAATAGAATTTTGTGAAAAATTGCACCAATTACAGCCGATGAAACAGAATGTTGTGTACCGAAGTTTAATTGCCAACCTGAAGGAAACAAAATTACTGGTCACGTGGCTTGTAATTCATTCATCATTTATAAAGGCTCTGCATTTTTAATAATAAAATCTCTACTCCTCATTCTAACTACGAGAATTAGCCCAGAAGTCGGAGACTTGTGCGGGAGAGGAGGCGGCATATTANTTTCAACTGAAACTTGCAAAATTAATATAAGGGTGAATGACAACGAGATCTCGAAAAGGGTTGCACCGGTAAATATTTGCAAGTTACCTGACTGCTCAGCTTATGTAACCAACTACATTACAGGCCTGGTACTAGAAACAAAAATCCCCAAATCTTAGAGTCACCATCAATGTTAATGATTCGTTTACGATGAACATTAACAAATCATTACGTTTATGCTCGAGATAATGTAATCGCTGATTGGTTAAATAGAATTTTGTGAAAAATTGCACCAATTACAGCCGATGAAACAGAATGTTATGTTTTAATGGAATTTTGATCTTATTGTTTCAATAACTTTTAATTTTACCGAAGTTTAATTGCCAACCTGAAGGAAACAAAATTACTGGTCACGTGGCTTGTAATAATCATTTATAAAGGCTCTGCATTTTTAATAATAAAATCTCTACTCCTCATTCTAACTACGAGAATTAGCCCAGAAGTCGGAGACTTGTGCGGGAGAGGAGGCGGCATATTATTATTACGCAGGCCGCATTTGCGCCCAGGAACGATTTATGTTGGTACGCTCTAACCACCATTCAGTGCAGGAATGAGGGAAACCTGGAAAACCTCATTAATTAAGGGGTGGTCAAATGCCAACTGGTGTAAATCTCTCACATTGACCCAAGCCAACATTCTTCCACCCTACCATACCTGTACAGAGGGTGCCAATCCTCCGTACAAGCATAGCTAATCTACGGTCTACCGGCCGCGGGATTCGAAACCCGGGCAGATCGACACATCGATTTAAGTACTGACGCCTTAAACCGTGCGGCTATGTCAACTGATAAATGCAGTCAGACGTCTCTTTTTTATTTTTTGTAAAATCAATTATTTACATTCTAATTTTATATTAACATTAATTTTATAAACTTCATAATGCTGTAACCTCGGCCCTAACTTAGAAAATGGAACATTTAAATCGCATTTATCTATCAGTTGATTGAGAAACAAAATATTTTTCAAATATACACGATGTACGTGGCATTGAACACTCCCGCTGCCAATATCTGAAATGAAGAAATTTATTTTAGTTGCGGAAACTGGGGTTAGGTCTCTTGTATAGCTTCAAATTGTAGTTAGAACTGTTAGTTCAACTCTTTCTGTTAGATGGCGTGGCGATACTAAAAATTTTTTTGCTCCCTGAAACGTCCCACTAAACACGAAACGTAAATGAAACGTTGCAAATGAGATGTTTTACTAAACATTTGAAACATTAACTNTTGTTATAATGACTTTATTCACACCACATACTAACTATAACTAACAATAAATTATAAAAAATTATCAACTGCAGAAAAAAATTGTACAATGGTAAAAATCTTATAACTAGTATATAGTTAAATTGAAAGACGCAAGCTGATAAAACTGTAATTATTGGAAAACTAATATGTGTCATCTCTGTCATGTTTTGTTTTAAAAAAATGACATGCACCACCTATGACTGCATGTATTTTTTAATAACATTTGTTAAAATACGGTTTGTTTCTGCCCTTTCTGCGGGAGTGTTAAATGGCGCACCCTGTTATATGTAATTATTTTCAACAACAAAAGGTTGACCACCCCTACCCCTATTTTATTTTTTTTCTTTCTCAAATCTCATTCGAAAGTTTTTTGTATGAGGCTAGATATCATTCCCTAAAAAACAATATCAAAATACTACAACCGCAGCAAAATAAATCTACAACTCTCAATTAATCTCTTAACTTGCACCAGTGGATTCAACCAGGGATACGCGCACTTCTTAAGGGGTAGGTACGCAAAGGAATGTCTTAGAATAGAGACGAAACATTAAGTTAATTAATAATTAAACAATTCGCTTTAAGTATTCGACAATTTTATGATTTTTTTATTCATTCGTTTGAAAAATAAAAACCGCGGCTAGCTTGATTCAGAACCCTTATTATAATGTTCAGCCATGTACCTACCTACTAACAGGAAAACGCAAAATTTTCATTTACTATTAACTAACTGAATTCCAATGTATTATTGTATGTAATGTAGCCACTTGGGCATACAAATAAATAATTTAATAACAATGGGTATTTACCTAACATCTAACCCTAATCCCTGGCCCTCTACTAGAGATGTACGGTACTGTCCATTTTTCCATTCCCATACTCGATAGTTTCTATCGGTATTACAGCTTACGATACATTATGATCCGGTACATTTTCTGGCAATAAGTATCCTATCGGCAACGGATTGAGCCTTAAAGCTTGTGATAAAATTCATTTATTACTAGCAACTTTCCAAAATACTAACATGCAATCCTTCATGCAATCTATCGGTACATAGCTAAAATATGTGAAACTTGTTATTTCGATACAGTCAGTTGTATGAAATTATGAGTGTCGCCCTCTTTGATGTATTAATGGTGTGACTATACTATTTTTTTATGGTAAAAAAACTAAAATGTAGTGTATGCAGGCAGGTCAGAAATCTGTTGCGATTTAATTTGTCCTTTTTATATGCCATATTTTGTTTCCGCGTTTTTTCAAGTGTAGCCCCTTTCCGCACAGCCTTTGACTTTGGATTTGAGATTTGGATCTCATTTCTGTGGTGTTTTTATGTTTTTTTTTTTATATAATATGCTTTGTTTAAAAAGTAGTAGCAGTATGTACAAGATTTATATTGTATTTTATATTTATTAAAAAAAATTGCATAGATAAACACGTTACATAAAAGTTCTTTGAATAAATGCCGAATCGTTGTAATGTATATACGGTTTTTTGTGTACCGATACTTTTTAAACAATACAATACGATACCTCAGTACCGGTACTTTTTCAAGTACCTATCATGCGTCTCTACCCTCTACTAACTTTAACCTAAATTCATATACAGGGTGTTTCAGTTTGGGTGAATCAAACTTTAACCACAAATAGAACTCA